TCTCTCTCTCTCTCTTTTCTCTGGCTCTCTCTCTCTCTCTCTCTTTTCTCTGGCTCTCTCTCTCTCTCTCTCTTTTCTCTGGCTCTCTCTCTCTCTCTCTTTTCTCTGGCTCTCTCTCTCTCTCTATCTTTCTCTGGCTCTCTCTCTCTCTCTATCTTTCTCTGGCTCTCTCTCTCTCTCTATCTTTCTCTGGCTCTCTCTCTCTTCTCTGCTCTCTCTCTCTTTTCTCTGGCTCTCTCTCTCTCTCTCTCTTTTCTCTGGCTCTCTCTCTCTCTCTCTTTTCTCTGGCTCTCTCTCTCTCTCTTTTCTCTGGCTCTCTCTCTCTCTCTTTTTCCTCTGGCTCTCTCTCTCTCTCTTCTCTCTTTTCTCTGGCTCTCTCTCTCTCTCTTTTCTCTGGCTCCTCTCTCTCTCTTTTCTCTGGCTCTCTCCTCTCCTCTCTCTTTTCTCTGGCTCGCTCTCTCTCTCTTTTATCTGGCTCTCTCTCTCCTTCTTTTCTCTGGCTCTCTCCTCTCTCCTCTCTCTCTCTCGCTCTCTCTCTCTCTCTCTCTCCTCTCTCTCTCTCTCTCTCTCTCTCTCTCCTCTCTTCTCTCTCTCTCTCTCCTCTCTCTCTCTCTTCTCTCTCTCTCTTTACTCTTTTTTTTCTCTCTCTCTCTTTACTCTTTTTTTTCTCTCTCTCTCTCTTTACTCTTCTTTTCTCTCTCTCCTCTCTCCTCTCTCTCTCTCTCATCTTTTCTCTCTGTCTCTCCTCTCTCCTCTTTTCTCTCTGTCTCTCTCGCTCTTTCTCTCTGTCCTCTCTCTCTTTTCTCTCTCTCTTTTCTCTCTGTCTCTCTCTCTCTCTTTCTCTCTGTCTCTCGCTCCTTTCTCTCTGTCTCTCGCTCCTTTCTCTCTGTCTCTCGCTCCTTTCTCTCTGTCTCTCGCTCCTTTCTCTCTGTCTCTCGCTCCTTTCTCTCTGTCTCTCGCTCCTTTCTCTCTGTCTCTCGCTCCTTTCTCTCTGTCTCTCGCTCCTTTCTCTCTGTCTCTCGCTCCTTTCTCTCTGTCTCTCTCTCCTTTCTCTCTGTCTCTCTCTCCTTTCTCTCTGTCTCTCTCTCCTTTCTCTCTGTCTCTCTCTCCTTTCTCTCTGTCTCTCTCTCCTTTCTCTCTGTCTCTCGCTCCTTTCTCTCTGTCTCTCGCTCCTTTCTCTCTGTCTCTCGCTCCTTTCTCTCTGTCTCTCGCTCCTTTCTCTCTGTCTCTCGCTCCTTTCTCTCTGTCTCTCGCTCCTTTCTCTCTGTCTCTCGCTCCTTTCTCTCTGTCTCTCGCTCCTTTCTCTCTGTCTCTCGCTCCTTTCTCTCTGTCTCTCGCTCCTTTCTCTCTGTCTCTCGCTCCTTTCTCTCTGTCTCTCGCTCCTTTCTCTCTGTCTCTCGCTCCTTTCTCTCTGTCTCTCGCTCCTTTCTCTCTGTCTCTCGCTCCTTTCTCTCTGTCTCTCGCTCCTTTCTCTCTGTCTCTCGCTCCTTTCTCTCTGTCTCTCGCTCCTTTCTCTCTGTCTCTCGCTCCTTTCTCTCTGTCTCTCGCTCCTTTCTCTCTGTCTCTCGCTCCTTTCTCTCTGTCTCTCGCTCCTTTCTCTCTGTCTCTCGCTCCTTTCTCTCTGTCTCTCGCTCCTTTCTCTCTGTCTCTCGCTCCTTTCTCTCTGTCTCTCGCTCCTTTCTCTCTGTCTCTCGCTCCTTTCTCTCTGTCTCTCGCTCCTTTCTCTCTGTCTCTCGCTCCTTTCTCTCTGTCTCTCGCTCCTTTCTCTCTGTCTCTGTCTCCTTTCTCTCTGTCTCTGTCTCCTTTCTCTCTGTCTCTGTCTCCTTTCTCTCTGTCTCTGTCTCCTTTCTCTCTGTCTCTGTCTCCTTTCTCTCTGTCTCTGTCTCCTTTCTCTCTGTCTCTGTCTCCTTTCTCTCTGTCTCTGTCTCCTTTCTCTCTGTCTCTGTCTCCTTTCTCTCTGTCTCTGTCTCCTTTCTCTCTGTCTCTGTCTCCTTTCTCTCTGTCTCTGTCTCCTTTCTCTCTGTCTCTGTCTCCTTTCTCTCTGTCTCTGTCTCCTTTCTCTCTGTCTCTGTCTCCTTTCTCTCTGTCTCTGTCTCCTTTCTCTCTGTCTCTGTCTCCTTTCTCTCTGTCTCTGTCTCCTTTCTCTCTGTCTCTCTCTCCTTTCTCTCTGTCTCTCTCTCCTTTCTCTCTGTCTCTCTCTCCTTTCTCTCTGTCTCTCTCTCCTTTCTCTCTGTCTCTCTCTCTTTTCTCTCTGTCTCTCTCTCTTTTCTCTCTGTCTCTGTCTCTTTTCTCTCTGTCTCTCTCTCTTTTCTCTCTGTCTCTCTCTCTTTTCTCTCTGTCTCTCTCTCTTTTCTCTCTGTCTCTCTCTCTTTTCTCTCTGTCTCTCTCTCTTTTCTCTCTGTCTCTCTCTCTTTTCTCTCTGTCTCTCTCTTTTCTCTCTGTCTCTCTCTTTTTCTTATTCTCTCTGTCTCTCTCTTTTTCTTATTCTCTCTGTCTCTCTCTTTTTCTTATTCTCTCTGTCTCTCTCTATATATAATATATTCATAGCACATACTATATGATATAATAAAATGCATAAGGATTATACATACAATCAGAAATATCATACAGCTTTCCACATACCAACGTGTCCAATGAAAATAACATTGACTGGTTCCTTCTTCACTAACTGATCTTCATCTTCTAGGACAACCTTCTTTTTTACACATTCATTTTCTTCATCTTCATCACCATCTGGGGTGGTGGGTGTTGGTGGTGAGGGTGGAGTCTCTTGGGATGGGGATGGAGTAGCAGCATCAGCAGCCAGCTCCCATGAATCTGCAGGAATATCTCCATCATTGTTGACCATGGTGGAATCTTCTTTCACATCTGTCACTACCGACTCCGGAGGAGGATCTGAAATTAAAAGTTTTTTTTTTTTCTTGAAAATTCTAATAAATATTCTACATTTAGATTATAAATCTTGAATATATATATATATTATGTATATAATACACATACACACACAAGTATTACATATATATGCATATATATTACATGCATATATATATATATATACAGTAAGTCCCCAACTTATGGACATAATGGGGACCGAGAGGCTGTTCGGAAGTCGATTTGATCGTATGTCGAAAGTCGGGTCTCCATTGCCTTTTCCCCCATTGTTTTAAAGTTTTGTTTACATTAAGAATACCTGTACATAAATCCCAATAAGTACGACATACCTTATACAGTACCTGTAATATGTAATGCTTTTAATATTATTTGATAGTGATTCATACAACTTTAATGTAGAAACATAATTTATTCAAAATATATTGTAGTGGTGACAGGCAAATAAAAAACTCTACGCTCTGGCAAACAATGGCAGCGCGCCGACTTCGAGGGCGCGAGTTCCGTACATCAGGCCGAATCACTGGTTCACTGTATCACTGGCTCGCCGCGCTTTGGCGCCGCCGCAGCCGCGTACAGCCGCATGGGACTTTTTTTTTTTTTTTTTTTTTTTTTCCCCACCTAACGCGTCACCCGTCGTGAAAGGGATAATATCATTTGGTGATTTATACAACTTTAACCCATTCGCCACACGTGGCAAGAATAGATGCCATGCCCACTTTGATATATGTTCATTTATTGTATTTACACATAGATGGCTCCACAAGTTCTTAATCACCAAACAGCCAGTTATCAAGAACTACCTATTTCCCCTGTTTACCCGTTTCCTTCACTTTAGGAAAGGGTTTTGGGTTTTCTGTATCATTTCATTGTCTAAAATATTCTAATGACAATTTAATAATCATAACATCAATAACAATAGAAACAGTGTCGATAGCAATGGTATTAATTTTCCCGCCAATTCAATGAATGGAAAAATTAGGGTCGGTAACTAGGGCCTACTGATAGACTCCTTGCCGGCAGAGCCATCTGTATGTAACAAAATTCACCAAAAATTACAGGGGACAGAACATAAATCAGGGACGAATGGGTTAAATGTAGAAACAGAATTTATTCAAAAAGAAAATATATTGTAGTGATGACTGGCTGGCAAACTGATTGATAAGATCCATAAAGTTATAGCCTGACATTTCTTGGCAATTCCACTGGCTTCACCGTTTATCTTTCTCTTCACACCCGACATTTTTGATGGATTGATGCACAGGTAAAGCGAATTATGGCACAAAAATTGTCGGTACACAGTGAAGAGAGGCTTTCGTGTTTGTGGTGGGAGGGCAGGTAAGTGATGCCACAGCTGAATGAGCACAGCGGCGCAGCGTGGCAGACTCGTGAACTATATTCGCGCCTGGGAAATTTGAAGTTTGCTAGCATCTTTCAAACAATTTTTTGGACTTTAGTACTTAAAAATTTTTTGTATGTATAGAATGTGCGTAAGTAGAATGTTCTTAAGTCGGGGACTATCTGTTTATATATATATATATATATATATATATATATATATATATATATATATAGACTATACAAGTAGATATATGTAGATATAAATATTTTATGCATATATACACATAATCACACAAATTATATATATAAATATATATATATAGCAAGTCCCCAAGAACAAGAACATAATGGGGACCGAGAGGCTCTCTCTCTCTCTCTCTCTCTCTCTCTCTCTCTCTCTCTCTCTCTCTCTCTCTCTCTCTCTCTCTCTCTCTCTCTCTCTTTCCTCATTCTCTCTCTCTCTCTCTCTCTCTTTCCTCATTCTCTCTCATTCTCTCTCTCTCTCTCTCTTTCCTCATTCTCTCTCATTCTCTCTCTTTCCTCATTCTCTCTCTCTCTCTCTCTCTCTTTCCTCATTCTCTCTCATTCTCTCTCTCTCTCTCTCTTTCCTCATTCTCTCTCATTCTCTCTCTCTCTCTCTCTTTCCTCATTCTCTCTCATTCTCTCTCTCTCTCTTTCCTCATTCTCTCTCATTCTCTCTCTCTCTCTCTCTTTCCTCATTCTCTCTCATTCTCTCTCTCTCTCTCTCTTTCCTCATTCTCTCTCATTCTCTCTCTCTTTCCTCATTCTCTCTCTCTTTCCTCATTCTCTCTCATTCTCTCTCTCTCTCTCTCTCTCTTTCCTCATTCTCTCTCTCTCTCTCTTTCCTCATTCTCTCTCTCTTTCCTCATTCTCTCTCTCTTTCCTCATTCTCTCTCTCTCTCTCTCTTTCCTCATTCTCTCTCTTTCCTCATTCTCTCTCTTTCCTCATTCTCTCTCTTTCCTCATTCTCTCTCTCTCTCTCTCTTTCCTCATTCTCTCTCATTCTCTCTCTCTCTCTCTCTTTCCTCATTCTCTCTCATTCTCTCTCTCTTTCCTCATTCTCTCTCTCTCTCTCTCTCTTTTCCTCATTCTCTCTCTCTCTCTCTCTTTTTCCTCATTCTCTCTCTCTCTCTCTCTTTTTCCTCATTCTCTCTCTCTCTCTCTCTTTTTCCTCATTCTCTCTCTCTCTCTCTCTTTTTCCTCATTCTCTCTCTCTCTCTCTCTTTTTCCTCATTCTCTCTCTCTCTCTTTTTCCTCATTCTCTCTCTCTCTCTTTTTCCTCATTCTCTCTCTCTCTCTTTTTCCTCATTCTCTCTCTCTCTCTCTCTTTTCCTCATTCTCTCTCTCTCTTCTCTCTCTTTTTCCTCATTCTCTCTCTCTCTCTCTCTTTTCCTCATCCTCTCTCTCTCTCTCTCTTTTTCCTCATCCTCTCTCTCTCTCTCTCTTTTCCTCATCTCTCTCTCTCTCTCTCTCTCTTTTCCTCATTCTCTCTCTCTTTTTTCTCTCTGTTCTCTCTCTCTTTTCTCTCTGTCTCTCTCCTCTTTTCTCTCTGTCTCTCTCTCTTTTCTCTCTGTCTCTCTCTTCTTTTCTCTCTGTCTCTCTCTCTTTCTCTCTGTCTCTCTCTCTTTTCTCTTATTCTCTCTGTCTCTCTCTGTCTTCTCTTATTCTCTCTGTCTCTCTCTTTTTCTTATTCTCTCTGTCTCTCTCTTTTTTCTTATTCTCTCTGTCTCTCTCTTTTTCTTATTCTCTCTGTCTCTCTCTATATATAATATATTCATAGCACATACTATATGATATAATAAAATGCATAAGGATTATACATACAATCAGAAATATCATACAGCTTCCACATACCAACGTGTCCAATGAAAATAACATTGACTGGTTCCTTCTTCACTAACTGATCTTCATCTTCTAGGACAACCTTCTTTTTTACACATTCATTTTCTTCATCTTCATCACCATCTGGGGTGGTGGGTGTTGGTGGTGAGGGTGGAGTCTCTTGGGATGGGGATGGAGTAGCAGCATCAGCAGCCAGCTCCCATGAATCTGCAGGAATATCTCCATCATTGTTGACCATGGTGGAATCTTCTTTCACATCTGTCACTACCGACTCCGGAGGAGGATCTGAAATTAAAGTTTTTTTTTTTTTCTTGAAAATTCTAATAAATATTCTACATTTAGATTATAAATCTTGAATATATATATATATTATGTATATAATACACATACACACACAAGTATTACATATATATGCATATATATTACATGCATATATATATATATATATACAGTAAGTCCCCAACTTATGGACATAATGGGGACCGAGAGGCTGTTCGGAAGTCGATTTGATCGTATGTCGAAAGTCGGGTCTCCATTGCCTTTTCCCCCATTGTTTTAAAGTTTTGTTTACATTAAGAATACCTGTACATAAATCCCAATAAGTACGACATACCTTATACAGTACCTGTAATATGTATGCTTTTAATATTATTTGATAGTGATTCATACAACTTTAATGTAGAAACATAATTTATTCAAAATATATTGTAGTGGTGACAGGCAAATAAAAAACTCTACGCTCTGGCAAACAATGGCAGCGCGCCGACTCCGAGGGCGCGAGTTCCGTACATCAGGCCGAAATCACTGGTTCACTGTATCACTGGCTCGCCGCGCTTTGGGCGCCGCCCGTCAGCCGCGTACAGCCGCATGGGACTTTTTTTTTTTTTTTTTTTTTTTTTCCCCACCTAACCGCGTCACCCGTCGTGAAAGGGATAATATCATTTGGTGATTTATACAACTTTAACCCATTCGCCACACGTGGCAAGAATAGATGCCATGCCCACTTTGATATATGTTCATTTATTGTATTTACACATAGATGGCTCCACAAGTTCTTAATCACCAAACAGCCAGTTATCAAGAACTACCTATTTCCCCTGTTTACCCGTTTCCTTCACTTTAGGAAAGGGTTTTCTGTATCATTTCATTGTCTAAAATATTCTAATGACAATTTAATAATCATAACATCAATAACAATAGAAACAGTGTCGATAGCAATGGTATTAATTTTCCCGCCAATTCAATGAATGGAAAAATTAGGGTCGGTAACTAGGGCCTACTGATAGACTCCTTGCCGGCAGAGCCATCTGTATGTAACAAAATTCACCAAAAATTACAGGGACAGAACATAAATCAGGGACGAATGGGTTAAATGTAGAAACAGAATTTATTCAAAAAGAAAATATATTGTAGTGATGACTGGCTGGCAAACTGATTGATAAGATCCATAAAGTTATAGCCTGACATTTCTTGGCAATTCCACTGGCTTCACCGTTTATCTTTCTCTTCACACCCGACATTTTTGATGGATTGATGCACAGGTAAAGCGAATTATGGCACAAAAATTGTCGGTACACAGTGAAGAGAGGCTTTCGTGTTTGTGGTGGGAGGGCAGGTAAGTGATGCCACAGCTGAATGAGCACAGCGGCGCAGCGTGGCAGACTCGTGAACTATATTCGCGCCTGGGAAATTGAAGTTTGCTAGCATCTTTCAAACAATTTTTTTTGGACTTTAGTACTTAAAAATTTTTTTGTATGTATAGAATGTGCGTAAGGTAGAATGTTTCTTAAGTCGGGGACTATCTGTTTATATATATATTATATATATATATATATAATATATATATATATATAGGGACTATTACAAAAAGTAGATATAGGTGTAGATATAAATATTTGTATGCATATATTACCACATAATCACACAAATTATATATATAAATATATATATATAGCAAGTCCCCAAGAACAAGAACATCATGGGGACCGAGAGCTCTCTCTCTCTCTCTCTCTCTCTCTCTCTCTCTCTCTCTCTCTCTCTCTTCATCATTCTATCTCTCTCTCTCTCTTCTCTCTTTCCTATTCTCTCTCCTCTCTCTCTCTCTTCCTCTTCTCTCTCATTTCTATCTCTCTCTCTCTTTCTCATTCTCTCTCATTCTCTCTCTTTCCTCATTCTCTCTCTCTCTCTCTCCTCTTCCTCATTCTCTATCATCTCTCTCTCTCTCTCTTTCCTCATCTCTCTCATTCTCTCTCTCTCTCTCTCTTCTCTCTATCTTTCATCATTCTCTATCTCTCTCTTTCTCATTCTCTCTCATCTCTCTCTCTCTCTCTCTTCCTCATCTCTCTCTCTCTATTCATCATTCTCTCTCTCTTCCTCATTCTCTCTCTCTCTTATCTCTCTCTCTTCATCATTCGCTCTCTCTCTCTCTCGTTCCTCATTCTCTCTCATCTCTCGCTCTCTCTCTCTCCTTAATCATTCTCTCTCTCTCTCTCTCCTCATTCTCTCTCTCTCTCTCTTGTCCTCATCTCTCTCATTCTCTCTCTCTTTCCTCATTCTCTATCTCTCTCTCTCTCATCTCTCTTTCATCATTCTCGCTCTCTCTCTTCTCTCTCTCTCTTGTCCTCATCTCTCTCATTCTCTCTCTCTCTCTCTCTTTCCTCATTCTCTCTATCTCTCTCTACTCTCTCTCTCTCTTCTCCTCTCTCTCTTCATCATTCTCTCTCTATCTCTCTTTCCTCATTCTCTCCTCTCTTTTTCCTCATTCTCTCTCCTTCTCTCTCGCTCTCTCTCTCTCTTCCCCCTCATTCTCTCTCTCTTTCAATCATTCTCTCTCTCTTTCCTCATTCTCTCTCATATCTCTCTCTCTCTTTCTCATTTCTCTCTCCTTCTCTCTCTCTTCCTCTTCTCATCTCTCCATCTCTCTCTCTCTCTCTTTTCCCATTCTCTCTCTCTCATCGTTCTCTCTCTCTCTTTTTTCCTCATTCTCTCACTCTCTCTCTCTCTTTTCCTCTTTCTCTCTCTCTCTCCTCTCTTTTTCCTCTTCTCTCTCTCCTCTCTCTCTTTTTCCTCTTCTTCTCTCTCTCTCCTTTTTCCTCATTCTCTCTCTCGCTCTCTCTCTTCTCTTTCATCATTCCTCCTCTCTCCTCTCTCTCTCTCTCTCTCTTTCATCATTCTCTCTCTCTCTCTCTCTCTCTTTCATCATTCTCTCCTCTCTCCTCTCTCTCTCCTTTCATCATTCTCTTCTCTCTCTCTCTCTCGTCTCTCTCTCTCTCTCTTCTCATCATTCTCGTCTCTCTCTCGCTCTCTCTCTCTCCTCCTCTTTCATCATTCTCTCTCTCTCTCTCTCTCTCTCCTCTCTCTCTTCATCATTCTCTCTCTCTTCTCTCTCTCTCTCTCTCTTCATCATTCTCTCTCTCTCTCTCTCTCTCTTTCACATCTCTCTCTCTCTTCTTCTCTCTCTGTCTCTCTTTCATCATTCTCTCTCTCTCTCTTATCTCTCTCTCTCTCGCTTTCATCATTCTCTCTCCTCTCTCTCTCTCTCTTCTCCTCTCTCTCTTTCCTCATTCCTCTCTCCTCTCTTTTCCTCATTCTCATCTCTCTCTCTCTCTTTTTCCTCATTCTCTCTCTCGCTCTCTTTTCATCATTCTCTCTCTCTCTCTCTCTCTACCTCTCTCTCTCTCTCCTTTCCTCATTCTCTCCTCTCTCTCTCATCTCTCTCTCTCTTTCATCATCTCTCTCTCTTTCATCAGTCTCTCTCTCTCTTCATCATCTCTCTCTCTCCTCTCTCTCTCTTTCACCATTCTCTCTCTCTCTCTCTCCTCTCTCCTCTCTCTCTTCTCTTCTTCATCATTCTCTCATCTCTCTCTCTCATCTTCTCTCTCTTCTCATTCTCTCTCTCCTCTTCATCATTCTCCTCTCTCTCTCTCTCTCTCTGCTCTCTCTTTCATCATTCTTCTCTCTCTCCTCTCCTCTCTCCTTTCATCATTCTCTCCTCTCTCTCCTCTCTATCTCTCTCTTTCATCATTCTCTTCTCTCCTCTCTCTCGCTCTCTTTTCATCATTCCTCAATCTCTCTCTCTCTCTCTTTCATCATTCTCTCTCTCCTCTCTCTCTCTTTCATAATATTCATTCCTCGCTCTCTCTCTCTTTCATTCATTCTCTCTCTCTCGTTCATCATTCTCTCTGCTCTCTCTCTCTCTCCTCTCTCCTCTCTCTCTCGCTCTCTCTCTTTCATCTTTCTCTCTCTCTCTCTCATTCTCTCCTCTCTTTCATCATCTCTCTCTCTTCATCCTTCTCTCTCTCTCTCTCTTTCATTATCTCTTCTCTCTCTCTCTCTCTGCTCTCTCTCTCTCTTCTCTCTTTCCTCATCTCTCTCATTCTCTCTCTCCTCTCTCTCTCTCCTCTTCATCATTCTCTCTCTCTGCTCTCTCCTCTTCATCTCTCTCTCTCTTTCTCATTCTCTCTCTCTCTCTTCCTCATTCTCTATCTCTCTCTTTCATCATTCTCTCTCGTCTCTCTCTCTCTCGTTCATCATTCTCTCTCTCACTCTCTCTCTCTCTTTCATCATTCTTCTCTCTCGACCGCCCTAGTCCCCGTCTCTCTCTCTCTCTTTCATTCATTCTCTCTCCTCCTCTCTCTCTTCATCATTCTCGTCTCTCTCTCTCTCTTCTCTTTCTCCTTCTTCCTTCCTCTCTCTCTCTCTTTCATCATTCTCTCTCTCTCTCTCTCTCTTTCATCATTCTCTCTCTCTCTTCTCTCTCTTTCATCATTCTCCTCTCTCTCTCTCTCTCTCTTCATCATTCTCTCTCTCTCTCTCTCTCTTTCATCATTCTCATCTCTCCTCTCTCTCTCTTTCATCATTCTCTCTCTCTCTCTCTCTCTTCATCATTCTCTCTCTCTCTCTCTCTCTCTTTCATCATTCTCTCTCTCTCTCTCTCTCTCTCTTTCATCATTCTCTCTCATCTCTCTCTCTCTTTCATCATTCCTCGTTCTCTCTCTCTGTCTCTTTGCATCATTCTCTCTCTCTCTCTTCTCTTTCATCATTCTCCTCTCTCTCTCTCTCTCTTTCATCATTCTCTCTCTCTCTCTCTCTCTCTTCATCATTCTCTCTCTCTCTCTCTCTTCTTTCATCATTCTCTCTCTCTCTCTCTCTCTCTCTCTTTCATCATCATCTCTCTCTCTCTCTTTCATCATCTCTATCTCTCTCTCTCTCTTTCAATCATCTCTCTCCTCTCTCTCTCGTCTCTTTCCTCATTCTCTCTCTCTCTCTCTCTCTTTCATCATTCT